GTAAAAGATGCTGTGAACGGTGCATAACGGTATACGTGTGTGTTTGTAAAAGATGCTGTGAACGGTGCATAACGGTATACGTGTGTGTTTGTAAAAGATGCTGTGAACGGTGCACAACGGTATACGTGTAAAACAACTATTTATTTTTACAGTGTTTAAAATGCTTACGCAATAAAACATGTATTTATACTTCAACGCCCACAAATACGTAACTCTAAATGGATATCGTTGTGTCTTAAAATAAAGTGACGTCAGAAATGGTTAGCACTATAAAGAAAAATCGGCACGTTTAGCTATTCCAAAGGATGACTGACTAACGTACAATAAGGCTATCAAGAGAAGGCCTGATTTTCTTTTCCAACATAGCTTGTAAACATCACATAAATAACAAGAAGCCAGGCTAGTGCTAAAACATCCTGCTACTTCCACGAATTAGGGGTCGTTCACCTACTGTAAACTAGCAATTTGATGTGTTCTTCTACAGACTACCAACAACTCTGGACACAGTCTCATCCTGTGCTTTGAAGAACAGGAAAAAGGTATGAAAGCCTAAATCCGCGGATCCTAAACAAATCATAATTTTGGAATACCTGCAAAACATTAAAATTTTACCGTAGTTTCAGAAATTCTGGTTTTTTGTGATTTACTTACTTCATAACATCTTCTTTTGTTCTTAAGTCTCTTAAGCAGTCAGTATAAACAAGAAAACACTGATGTTCAAATTCGATAACAAGACAATTTTTTATCTGTGCATTCATGACAAAGCTACAAAGGCTATCAGCTTGCGTCCCTAATTTTGGTCGCTTTATTTCTGGTCAGTAGTTCAATCCACAGCGCCCGACTGCCCACACTAAGCTGTTGACTGTTATTATTATAACGCACCCCAGTTTGAAATGTGTGGAACATTTTGTTGTCTGGTGGATCGACTTTAGTTCCATGATCTGTTTAAAGTTTGTCTGGTGGATCGACTTTAGTTCCATGATCTGTTTAAGGTTTGTCTGGTGGATC